ATATTAAATGGTGAGCATATATCATATCATTTTGTATAAATTTTACATTTTACATCTTTCTTATCTTATTGCACAACTACACAAGTCTAATCTTGAGAATATTCTACTTTCCTGGAAGGAATAGAAACTACCTAATCAGACATATGGTTTACTCCTGCTACATGCTACAACAATACGATTTCAGCACCAAAGTATTCCAAGATAAAGATATGGCTTCCGGAAAGTTGAGGATGCTACATTCCAAATGTCGCAATACGAGTGCGTGCTTCAAATTTGAAAAGTGAAATATTGAAGACTATAGGAGACCTTTACCTCAGGTCTAACATCAAACGAATGTTTGTTCCGGATGATAAAGTAGATTGGGGAGTGGAATGGCCCGAATATTATCCGCCAGATCATAATGATCCTTCAATTTTCGGAAAGATATGGGCTGATCAGAACTTGTCGGTGGGAGAATCGTGTAAATGGAACCAAATCGATGGCAAGGTTAACAGATGCTCCTATATACGGTGAGTTATAATTCGCTCAACTTTAGAATATCATTTAGAGATTACACTTTGGATACTGAGGGACGACCACTGAATCCTCAAGGTAGAACAGGTTTGCGTGGACGTGGTATTCTTGGCAGATGGGGTCCTAACCATGCCGCTGACCCTATCGTGACTAGAATACATGATGGAGTTCTTCAATTTGTGGCCATTAAGAGACAAGATACTGGTGAATATATTTCATCTCATTGCTTTTGGAAAGTATTAGTATAGGAGAATGGGCTATCCCGGGTGGTATGGTAGATGCAGGAGAAGTTATCAGCGAAACGCTGAGAAGAGAGTTTGCAGAAGAAGCACTCGATTGTCAAGATGTTTCCAAAATCAAGTCACTGTGGAATCATGGTACCGAGCTTTACAAGTAAGTTGAGCTTAATGCAGAGAGCAAGTGCTTAAAACGTTTCTCAGAGGATATGTTGATGATCCCAGGAATACGGATAATGCTTGGATGGAAACGGTAGCTACTAACTTTCACGATCAAGAGAACGTACTTGAAAACGTTAATCTGAAGGTAAATCAATAGTCGTTATATTTAAGAAATGTTGATTTGAAGGCAGGAGACGACGCTGTTTCTGTGAGATGGATTGACGTCGATGACAACACACTTCTGTACGCTTCACACAAATACTTTATATCATTATTACGAGATCATCATAAGAAATAATTAATAAGTTTCCATAAATCGACAATCTCCCAGAGATTCAGTGTAAATTCTTAGAAGAAGTTCTTCAACAGAAATGAAGCTTCAGCTTTAGCAAGAAAATGAATTAACCTGTCATGGAGGGAAAGATAGAAGACATAATACCAATTGAAAGGTATATCACGGATGTATACAATCGAGACTGCCAATTTAGCGAGCACCTCCTTTCTTTCTTTTACAATATTTTTTATGTTGCGGCCAATGTTGCTGTTGACAATCAACACCACAGTATGCAGTATTCCAACAACATGGATATATTGCCTGAAATGGAAGAACCAAGTACTGAATCTTCGAGTACAAAGGGTCACCTCTTTTTCACATTGATAACACCACTGCTGTCGTTTAACATTCATCATCTCTTTTCGATGGCGTTCTTCTAACTGTGCTAGTTCATATTTGAGTGATTCTCTATACTTCTTGTCCAACTCTTCTCTAAAAGAGTTGACAACACTTATTGGAAAAGAACACAAACATACTTTGTGCTTTCTAGTTCCTCTTTGAATTGTTGAACCAATTCTCCTCGTGTTTTCTCTTCTTCAGCTAAAAACTCTTCATGAAGCTGAAACGTAAGCAATCTGTGCGATGAAACGAAATAGAAAAATAACCTTCTCTGTAACTTCGATCAAGAGTTTTTGTCGAGATCTATGATATTCACTCAACATATGCCTATGAATTTCTAGTACAATCCTTTTTACATCTTCTGAATTACTCATAATACCAGGATGTGCCCAGTTTTCAACCTAGAACTACGCGTTAAGCTTTATTGATATACTAGGGTTACCTGAGCATGTTCATTAGTTAAATCCTGTTGGTCTTGGACAAGATGTCTAGGGTCAACAACTTGGTTGCCGATTATCTGATGATGATCGTCCATCATTTCTCGTTTAGTTCCTCTAGCATCCATTGATTAGTAATTATAATAATATAGCAATGCTATTCAAGCTGGTGCCAAGGACCAGCGTCTTATTAATTGACATTGAAGGTTTCACAATAAATGGTCTCACCACGAAAATGATTGGCTAGTGTCTTTTTTTGAAGCGTTCATCCATAATTAGTTAATAGTGCATTGATTGATTAGAATAATTTCCATATAGATATGTACTATGACAGGAAGAGGTTAGTCCTTAAAGCTTGATTCTATTCCACCCTTTCACTAGGTAATGGCATATCAAACCAGAGCCCTCGATTTATATTTCCGAAAAACGATGGAGCCTTTCTCTTACAAGGTTAGTTCTCACAACCATTAAATAGATAAAAAGAGCTTCAGGTCCATCAGCTATGAGCTTTGTTCTTCTACAAGGACAGCAATATTTGATACCAAGTAAGGCGCTCATTTTTTTCCAAATTTTCGTGCGTTTTTTAAGTTTCCAATGAACTAGTCGGCTCCTTTGTACAACAAACTCCTACTTTTAGTCAAGCGGTAATTACAGTCGACTTAACATTATTACTAATGGTTCTCCATTTAGAACTTCCTGGTTAGCTCAGCACCCACTGTGATTAATGCCGTTGAAAAACCCGATGTTTCTGTAGAGCTGCAAGAGCTTCCTCCTGCCCTAGATAAAGGTTTGTCGCTGGTGTTTCTGATAACACTTGCTTCTTTTAGTTAGTGATGAACAAGAGATCGATGAAAATAGAGAGTCCGCTGTTGTTTTTTCTTGTGAAAGAGCGTTTTCCAAAGAAGCTGACGACTTTAAAAAATCGGTGAATGCAGATGGCATAGTGTTACATCAGATAAATGGGTTCGTCATAGAGGTATGATATTGTAGCTCTCTCCTCTCAGATTCTTTACTCCTTTAGGAAAGCGAAAGGCCTCTCTCTCCCGAACTGGCCAATATTAAAAACTATAAGGAGGATATACTGAAGGACGTCATTGCACCGAAAGCAGAAGAAACACTACGGAAAGAGAGAAGTACCAATTAGATGCTGAATGTTTTTTGAGCTTTCTTTATTCATAGGAAAAGCTGTTTCTACGACGCCCACTGTTAAAGCTCCGATTTCTCCTGTGAAACGATCAGGACGGATTACAGTAGAGACCAAAATCGCAAGTTCGCCCCCAAAATCTGTAGGTTTTAATTTGCTTTCTAAGTTTTACCCTTGTTCTTAGATTGAGAAACCCAAAAAAAGGCGAAGTGAATTGACTCAGTTACTAAACATGGACTTCGGTCCGAAAGCCGGTGGTAGGATTCTGTTGAAAACAAATGAAGATACCCAGAAGAAAAGAAGAAGTTTCCATGTAAGTTTACAAATGATTCACTCAGAATGTATTAATTTAAGGATAGACCTGAGAATGATATATTGGAGAATCGAATAAACTCAAAGACTCGAAGGTTTTCGGATATTCCAACTTCGCGCATATCCTCATCGCAAATATGTTCAAAGTCAAGTTATACTACGCCACATACTCGTCAAACACGCCAAACTAAAACTAATCCGAAACACTCAAACTGTACAAAAAATCAAACCAATAAGAAAGATACTAACTCCAAACTTTCTAAACGCTCTCTGCCAAACACAGATCGTGATGAAGACTTAAACTCTAACTCTTACACCAACTTATCTGATGAAAGGAGCGATGCCGAAGGGGAATATTATGTACAAGAAGAAAAACCAGGCAGGACCCTTCGGAGCAGAAAAGGAAATTCACAGAAACTGGAATGTTCAAAATCTGAGAGCTCTGTATCGTCCACGGAATTTATTGGACAATCGCCGAAAAAAAGTTAGTTTGATCAAAAATTTTGGTTATTCAACGTTTTACAGTTTATTACGAGCCTTGGGGAACACCACCGTATAAAGTCATCAATGTTGTTAATCTCGTTTGTTCTCCTGGATCTTAAGTTGAGTTTATAAACTTTTATTGAAAGCGTTACGAAACGGGGAGAGAAATTTCTGTACACCCATCTTCCATCTTCCGACACAATTCTGTCATAAGTAATCCACGAAGCGTCGATTTGACAAACATGATCTTCTCTTCTCAGATCTCTTGTAGTTTTTATCTATCAGTTGTACTATATTCATAATAATATTCTTCTGTTATAACTTACGTGTACTCTAATAATTTCTATTCTAAAGATATTAAATGGTGAGCATATATCATATCATTTTGT